ATTTCATGAGCACTCAGCAGGCCGGCCACTATTGTGTCTTGCTAGTTAAGCAAGAGAGTCTGTTTTTCACAGCACAGAGCCTGGGAACCAGACTTATGCAGACACTGCAACTGGGATAAGAAGTATAAGAGGAAAGAAGGTCAAGGGCTCAAGTGTTTAAACTACTCTTCAGAAGAATCAAAGAAAAATAAACCCACAGTCCATTTGCAGAGTCCTCCCCCCACACACACACTCACATTCCTATGGATGCCTGGTCCCTCAAAACCATCATTTGTTTCTAGGAACTTCTGGCCCCTCCATATAGTCTCCCTAGAAGGGAGATGCAAGAAGATGATGTGTCAATAAAGCAGTAGACTCCGGGGAGGGTCAGGAATCGTGGGGTGTGCTCCCCTCCCTGCCGCATTCCACTTCTGCAAGAAAGTCCAAGGACAGCCGTAAGGGAAAATGAGGTCACACAATCTGCAGCTGGAAAGAGTGGAAGAAGGTGGGGCAGTGGCTGTACCCTTGGCGGGGCAGATGCAGGGACAGGAGGAGTCTGTTTGGGTCTCCGGAAGTCATAAACCAGGTCCAGCTTGGGAGTCCAGATTCCCATTCTACCACTAACAATCTAAGTGACCGCAGGGGCTCACTCTGTTTTCTTACCTGTGACTTGAATTCTGAGATATGCCCGCTTGCATCTTCATGAGTAACTGGGACAGCTACAGGAATATTGACAGATCCTTTTAGGGTTCTCTCTCCCCATTAAAGTGGTTCTGAAGCTGTGTCTTACTCCATTTGTGTCCCCAGTGCTGGCATACATCAGGTGCTCTATGCATGCATGTTGAGCTGTGCTCAACTAGAGAAGATAGAAAAGCCCTGTGTTCTATGTGTAGGGGTTCCAAATCCTTCAGATTACAAACTTCATTACAAACAGATCGACACAGGGACAAGGAGCAGAAGGGAATCAAGGAAACAGGCAATCATTTGTTGTGCCAGGCAATTAGGATCATGGGTAACTGTCTTTCATATTATTATGTTTCTTGAGAAAAATAAAACCAAGGCAGTAGAGATGCAGGGGGAAGATCTTAAGCTCTTCAAAGGAACCAAATCTCTATTTTTCCCTTAACTGGCTTTGCTCTTGTCAGCCACTAAGGATCACACATCCGGCATCTCCCCCCATACAAATACCACCATTTTGACACCAGACATTAACACTATCACACCAGAATGTCTTGGAGGAATTCTCCCAAATTACTTCTCCTCTCTTAGCCTCTCACTCCTTTTCCTCATTTTTTCTGCACAGAAGAAAAGTATTGCCGCTCACAAGTCACCATTCCTCCCTGATATCAATTAAAAACTAGCAGTTTGTTAAGAGAGCTCAGATTCTGGATTCAAAGTTGGATTTGAACTCCTGCTTTCTTTCTTTTTTGCTTTAGTTATTTTTTTGATAGAATTTCACCTTTATGTCCCCAATCCCACCCCTCACAGCCAGCCTCAGACTTTGATCCTCCTACCTACAGCCTCCCACACAGCTGGGATTACAAATGTGCACCACCACACCCAGTTTATTGTTGAGATAAGGTTTCATAAACTTTGCCTGGGCTGGCCTCAACCTCCTGATCACCACCTCCAAAGTAGTTAGGATTATAGGTGTGAAGCCACCAAATCAACTTTCTTGTTTGTTTTCTTAGACAGGATCTTGCTACACAGCCCAGGCAGGCCCCAAACTCATGATTCTCCTACCTCAGCTTCCCAGTGCTGGGATTACAGGTGTGCACTGCCATACCCAGTGAATCCCTGCTCTTGACTGAGTCACTTCACCCCTCAGTGTCCTCACCTATCAGTGGAGAAAATGTTCCTCATGTATATCACATGCAATAATTACTGAGCACTTTGTAAGTGCCAGGAGCTATGCCTGCTGCTGCCCTCTGAAGGCTGGCAGGACTGGCAAGAGCTTGGGGGAAGGCCACCCCTCACTGCCCCACACGGAGTAAGCTTATGGGAGTGGCAGCCCAGTGGGATTAGCTGTAATATCAATGATGGAAGGAACTAATTTTTAAAAATAGAGTGCTGACTGAGTAACTAACATATGGACTATTTGCAGACAGTAGACTTTAACTTGCCAGCGAGTATTTATTTAGACACGGAGAGAAGTTTCATTCTATTGCTGATTTAAAAAACAAAACAACAAAAAACCCAACAAACAAAGCTAAAATGAGTATGTGGTTTAGTCCCATTCTAGTTTCTTTCTTTTTCATCTTTTTTTTTTTTTTTTGGTGGGACTAGGATTTGAACTCAGGGGTTCACACTTGCAAAGCAGGCACTCTACTGCTTGAGCCACACCTCCAGTCCTCATTCTATTTTCTTTTAAATCAAGTAACACCCAGACACTTTTTCATTCTTGTTCTTAAACTTGGGTGTCCAAGTGGCCTGAGGAGCTGGCCTACAACACAGGTGCCCAGCCCCCACAGACTGAATTAGCATCTCAAGAAGAGGGGTGTCTGCATTATGAACAAGAGCCCTGGATGATTCTGAGCTACACCAGCATTCCAGATCACTGCATGGCCCCCAGTATAAGTGCCATTTCACTGACTCATGGATGGCTGTTGATTTTTCTTCTCTCTGTATTTTCTGCAATTAGTATGCTAAGTAATTAAAGAAATAGAGACTATGTGTGTGTGTGACCTGAGTGACCTCTGCACACAAATGCAGAGTTCCACTCTGTGGTGGAAAGACAGGGTAAAGGAGGCAACCAAAAGGCTCCAGAGAGAATGGTATTTCTTTTCTCTTTTCTCTTTTGGCAGTACTGGGGTTTGAACTCAGGGCTTCAGGCTTGCTAGGCAGGTGCTTTACCACTTGAGTCACACCTCTAGTCCCTAAGGATGGATGAAATCAAATACCTAATCCTAGTGCAAGAAGCAAAGGCCCCTCTTTTAAAAAACAAACAAACAAAACCCAGGCACTGGTGGCTTATGCCTATAATCTTACCTACTGAGGAGGCAGAGATCAGAAGGATTGAGGTTTAAAGCCAACCCAGGCAAATAGTTCACAAGACCCTATCTTGAAAAAACCCTTCACAAAAAAGGAATGGTGGAGTGGCTCAAGGTGTAGGCCCTGAGTTCAAGCCCCAGTACTGGAAAAAAAAAAAAAGAAAAGCTAGGTGAGTTCAGAAGTATTAAGTTGACTGGGTAGAGCCAACTTCCCATCCTGTGATATAGTCCTCTTTAGTCTGAGGAAGGGGTCTAGCATGTGAAGGATACAAGATGCTTACAACTGTGAAAATGAGAAATGACCTAAATGTCTAACAGGGTAAAAGTTACGACACACCCATACCACAGAATCCTCTGCAGCCAATGGGAGTGCTGGGTGTCCATACCTGAAAGAACATTACAAAACACCATGACAACATCTATGTAAAGTTTTATATAGGGAGAGAAAGGGAGGGAGAAAAGAGGACATCTGGAAGGATAATCTTCAAGATGTTACCAGAGGTGAACTTTTGGGCTCAGGCTAATTATCCCTTATCCAAAATGCTTGGGGCTAGAAGCACTCCAGATTTCAGATTTTTCAGGATTTTGGAATATTTGCATATACCACATGAGATATTTGGAGGATAGGACCCAAGTCTAAACACAAACCCTTTCATGTTTCACATAACCTTATATCCCTAGCCTGAACGTGATTTTATACAGTATTTTCTTCTGTGTTTTGAGTATGACCCTTCACGTGACATGAGGTGGGGGATTTTCCATGTGTGGTATCATGCTGACATTCATAAAGTCACTTACAAATTCAAATTAGGAATGCTCACCTGCAAATTTGTGTTTTGGGGTGAGGGAACTTTTTCTGTTATTTGAATTGTATACTTTAAATAAGAATCATTTTTATAATCATAAAATGTATTCTTAACTTGAATATATATATATTTGCAGCCTTTTAAAATTTTTGTCTTTTTTTTTTTTTTTTGGGCAGCTTCAAAGTTGGCTAACTGAATCTCTGCAGATGTTAAGCTGTGCTGCTGAAGGCCTAACCTAAGGTGGGAAGGAGAGGAGGATCAGCCAAACAAAACAGGTGGGGCTGGTAAGGGGATGAGCAGGAGTGCTCCAAGGAAGGCGTGAACCCAGACTGACCCCAAAAAGGCCAAAGGTGTAGAGGAAGAGGGTGGATAAAACCTCCCAAAACAAAAGCTTTAAATGAACAGCAAATGTAGCAAATATGTCAAGAAATTCCTATGAGCCAAAGAGGAAGAGACCCTAATTCTAAAGCACTGACACTGGAAGGGATAAATGACAGAGGAGACGAGCAGACAGTACGCAAAGAAGAAAGAATGGCAGAGTCCGTCTGCAGAAAACGTCAGAGTACTAAAAATACCAGCAATGTTCTCATTTTCTGGATCTAAGGTTTGGTCCAGGGGCATGTGCTCAGTTTATAAAGAGTCAAGTTCAATACTTATGGTATGTGCACTTTTCTATGTTTCTATTGTACTCCAAAAATTAAAAACTTAAAAGCCAGTAATGGATAAACACAAAATTGAGGATAGAGACTGGGTGGGGAGGAGCAGAAAAGCACACAGTTAATATGAGCACTGCAGTGTTCTGTTTCTGCTTAGGTAGTTGAGTTCACAAATGTTTGTTAATATTAATAATTATATTATTTACAATAAATAGTTATACATATGGTTTGTTGAGGACCACACAGGGACCCAACAGACCTGGGCTGTATCCCTTGCTGTCTTACTCACTACCGGAAGCTCTCAGCCTCTCTGGCTCAGCCTCTTTATCCAGGAACAGGAGGAAATGAGAGCATTCAGAACACGGGAAATATGGAATTGCCCAACACTGACCCTGGCAGACCATATGCTCTGTAAAAGCTATCATGGTCTCCATTCCTCATTCATTGCACAACTTCAAATAGAAATGTTATTATTTTTTTTTAATTTAAAGAAGGCTTTGCAAAAGCCCATCTCCTTCCTAACTTAGTGGCCCCTTTCTGATTTGCTCTCCAGTCAGGTACACACGCACCGCCACTTTTTGTAGAGCGCTGCATCTCTCCGGAAGCAAAGCTTTGGCCCTGCTGTCAACCCTTGGCTGCTAAGTGCCACAGACGGGCACTGTTCACGGAGAGAGCGGGAAGATGGCCTCCTACATCCACCGAGCCACCTTTGCTGGGGCGCACCGGGACCACTTCTGCGACCACCCTCCGCTACAAACCGAGCAAGCGCCATTCTGCCACCCAAGTCCTTAAAAAAGGTATCTGTGGGCTGTGTTAAAAAAAAAAAAAAAAGCCGGGCGCCGGTGGCTCACGCCTGTGATCCTAGCTGCTCAGGAGGCAGAGATCAGGAGGATCGCGGAAGCCAGCCCAGGCAAATAGTTCATGAGACCCTATCTCAAAAAACCCTTCACAAAAAAGGGCTGGTGGAGTGGCTCAAGGTGTAGTCCCCGAGTTCAAACCCCAGTACCGCAACAACCACCAGCGACGAGGCGGGCGGGGGAGGAGCAGCCCTCCCTCCGGGGGAGACCGATGGGCTCCGTGGAGTCACGTGCTGCGCGTGGACCAGTCCCCCTGTGGTAAGGAGGGCGGGCACAAGAGCTGTAAGCATCCCCTGACCCGGCAGAGGCCAAAATGGCAGCTGCCACCCTGTGGCCTAAAATACTGCCCTGTATAAAGAAAAAAGCATCACTCCTGGGACAGGGGGATGGGAATATAACGGGGGGTGGGGGTGGGGGGTGAGCATGTTCACAGTACACCAAGCGACTGCATGGAATTACCACAATGAAATTCCCTCCTATTATTCATGCACGCTAATTCAAAAATAAGTGAAACTTATAAGCTTAAAAAAGTCATTTGCTGAGTAATATACCATACGAGATGGTCTATAATGCAGTATAATATATGATAATCTGAGAAATTTTGGTGGAATTTTTCTGTCAATTTTATCTTCTCTTTACACCAAAAAATAATTTATAATCACTTATCTGATACATATATGTACATAAATGCCTACATATACATGTACACATCCACACACAAATATTTTGAATTTTGTTTCTATACTTAATAGTTCAATAAAAGTTTGTGTCCTTAAAAATGTGTGTTAAAAACTTTTTAATTCATTTACTTTTGAGACAGGGGCTATGTAGCCTATGCTGGCTGTGAACTCACTATCATCTTGTCTCAGCCTCCTAAATTCTGGAATTACAGGCATGTACTACCACACCTGGCTTGTAAAAACCATCTTAACGGCTTGTAAAAACCATGATATACTACATTTCACTTCATAATTTCCTAGCTATTACTTTAATTAGTAAATAAAATTTCTTAATTCTAAATGTTATGTCAAAGCCAGGTGTTGGTGGCTCATCCTTGTAATCCTACCTTCATGGGAGGCTGAGATGGGAAGGATTACAGTTTAAGGCCAGCCTGGAAAAATAGCTCACAAGACTCCACTTCCAAAATAACCAGAGGAAGATGGACTGGAGGTGAAGTGAACCACAGTTCCCCATCAGTTGGTCATGTGGGAATGATCAGTGCCCCGTGTTGCTCAACTATGATGTTCAGTAGGTCAGAAATATTGCTATATTTTCAATTCACAATGGGTTTATCAGGACGAAGTCGTTTTGTAAGCTGAGAAGCATTTGTATCATCAGTCTTTTTTGGAGCCATCGTGAGAAGTGAACATAGCTAGTGACTATAAACACTTTTCATAGGCTTATCAGACCTTGTGTTTGTAGGTCACCCATCAGTTTATGTAGCTAGCATCTCTTCCCCATTGCTCTTTTCAAAGTTTATTCGGGATGGACCCTCTCTGGCCACTAAAGGTACCCTTTTCCCACTAAAGGTATCCACTCTTCTGACTGCAGAACAGCCCAGATTAGTTTCATTATTTTTTTGGAAGTACTGGGGTTTGAACTCAGGACTTCACACTTGCTAGGCAGGCACTCTACCACTTGAGCCATGCCACCAGCCCTTTTTGTGTTACATTTTTTTTGAGATAGGGTCTTGCAGAACTGTTTGCCTGGGCTGGCTTAGAACCACAATCCTCTTGATCGCTGCCTCCTGAACAGCTAAGATTACAAGCGTGAGCCACAGGCACCCAGCCCACCCTAGATTAGTTTTGTCTATATATATTTTTTTTTTGGTGTCTTATACAAAATATGGAGTCTTATTTTTGAGCTTCATTCACACTTTGGGAGGCAGCTGCAGATTGTTAATGCTGTATAGTGTGATATATTCAGTTATGTCAAGATACCACAGATCATCATTCTATTACTGACTGCCAGTTGAGCAGTTTTCAGTTTGGGGCTGATTTTTAGTTTTGGCTATTATGAATAATGCACCTACAAACACTTTTGCTTCTTCAAGAATAGAGTTTAAATTCCTTAGGTTATATCCTAAATACAACGGGGAATAGGTGCCTGGTTAGTAGAGAGGTCTGGTAGACACCAGCTGAGAACCCTTTGATCAAAGTCAGCATCACAAATAAAGTACCAAGCCAGGCGCCTGTGGCTCACACTTAACATCCTAGCTACTCAGGAGGCAGAGATGGACTGGTGGAGTGGTTCAAGTGATAGAGCACCTGCTTTGCAAGCATGAGGCCCTGAGTTCAAACTCCAGTGCCACCAAAAAAAAAAAAAATTCAGGAGGCAGAGATCAGGAGGATCATGGTTCAAAGCCAGCCTGGGCAAATAGTTCAAGAGATCCTACCTTGAAAAAAATCCTTCACAAAAAATGGCTGGTGGAGTGGCTCAAGATGTAGGCCCTGAGTTCAAGCCCCAGTAGCACAAAAGAAAAAAAGAAATGAATTGACATCAGTACAATACAATGGGAAGGACATATATCATCCATGTCACTTTCTTCCCAAAACTGTCTAACATGAATCCAGTAATGGGCAAACAATTGACTGTGAGACATTTTAGAAAACAACTGGCCTAGAATCCTCAAAAATGCAATGTGGTGAAACAGAAAGGGCCAAGCAACTATTGCAGATTAACGGAGACCGATGAGACATGACACCCAGTTGAAAGCTTTAAAGAAACATTACTGGGAGCCAAGAATAATGTGCATGTCTGGAATCCCCGCACTCAGTAAGCTGAGGCAAGAGGATGAAGAGTTTAAGTTCAAGGCCAGCCTGGGCTACACAGGAAAACCCTGTTTCATAAACAAAAACTGAAAGGAGGTATTTCTTAAAAATTACCGGGACAACTGGAAAATTCAAAAGACTGCATATTAGAAAAACAGACCTGGTGTGTTTTGGAGTGTGATTATGGTATTGTGGTTTTGCAGGAGAATGTTTTTGTTTTCAGTTGATACACGGCTGAGTATTTAGATGTAAAGTCGTGTGTACCTTTCAAAGTTTACCACATCACTATACACACGCACATATAGTCACACACAGCGAGGCTAAGGCAAATGTGGTGAAATGTTAATCACTGTGTGTCTGAGGGAAGGACAGGTTCTCACTGACGGTCTGACAAAGAGGATCACATCGTGTGCAGTTCTCTGGATTACCTTCCCCACTCGGTATTGTCTCTAAGATTCCTTCACGCTGTGGTACGGAGCTAAAGCCCATTCCATACCTCTCTTGATGTGCATTTTTGTTTTGGGTTGTTTTCCCTGCTGTCAGTTCTAAACTTTCAGGGCCATCTATTGGTTCTTTCTTTTTAGTGAACTTTAAAAATTTCACGTAAAAATGGAATTGGTAAACCTTTGACTCTTTTTATGTTGCTCTCCATTTTGGAGGGACTGCTCAGAATTCAAGCCTCAGGTAGGCAGGAAGCCTACCTGGCTTGGTCCAGGGTAGTCTTAGCACCAAGCACCATGTCTGGCGCACTGTCAGTGCTCAGCAAAGAAAACAAAAGCAAAGAGAGTCAACCAAAGGAGTAAATAAATGAACGTGAAATCAGGCATGCATCTTCACTTGTTACCGGAGTGTGAATATTATTATTGTAATTCTTACTATTTTGTAATATGGGGCTTGAACTCATGGCCTACACCTTAAGCCACTCCACCAGCTCTTTTTTTTTAAGTGAAGGATGTTTTCACTCACTATTTGCCCAGGCTGGCTTCGAACCCTGATCCTCCTGAGTAGCTAGGGTTACCCGTGAGCCACAGGCACCCAGCTTTGAGTGTGCAAATTGTTTTGTAAAATCGCCTTGTGATCATGAGAACTTTCTTCGACTTACTTCCGTATACTGACATTAGCTATGCACTTGTCACCTAGGGTTTCATAAACGGTCCCTGGTATAGTTTCTAGTTTGTTTTGGTACTACAAATAACACTTCTATGAAGATATTTTCCTCTTTGGATTAATGCCTTATAAGTTCCCGAAAGTGGAATTATGAGGTCAAAGGATCTGAAGTCTTACATATCTAGTGTGTTACATACTGTCTGAGAGACTAGATCCTGAAAGACTGAACTAATTTACACTGCCTTAGTCATATTTACTGCTTTTTCAACAGTTCTGCCAAGATTAGGTTTTCTGTTTTTACTAGTTTAATTAGGTATTTAAAGAAAGCTAATTTCTTTATCCCTCCCCACCTTGGAAGATGGGAGAAATTTTATTTCAGATATTTTTGATAACATTGTCTTTCAATACTTATAAAATGATGATCTAAATCTTTCTGGAAAATTAAATCTTATCAAGTGTGCAGAATTCCACGGAAACAGATTATCAGTCTTTTCTGGATATAACATCATTTATCTAATAAAATCTGAATTAAAGAGAAAGATAGAGAAAAAATTAATTGCTTAAAGAGAAGTTAAACCAACATAAAACCTAAGGCCATTATGGTCTGACTTCCAGGGCCTGATCATTCTTCAACTATCTCACACGTTTTTGCTTCAAATACTTGAAGTGAAAGCTAATTTCTTTAATTTATACTAATCTTTGCACCTTCTGTGTGACAACTTGCCATCTGAATTTCCTCAAGTGTGATCAACTGTAAATTGAAATTAAATTTCTTCTTTTCTTTTGTGGCAGTGCTGGGGTTTGAACTCAAGGACTTGCGCTTGCTAGGCAGGTGCTCTATCACTTGAATCACACCTCC